CCATCATTTACAGAAAAATCTTCTATAGGTTTTCCTGAAAGAATTCCTCTTGTAGTTTCACCAAAGGTTACCGAGTTCCATTTTTTTCTCTTTTTATTTTCTTTTCAAACATGACAATGCACCGACAGAACGAGATATTTGGGATACAGTGAAGTGATTTGTTTTAGAGCGAGACATAACGATAGTATGATATTGTGTAACATCCCTAGTATGTGTCCCAAAGGGAATTTAATCTGTCAACTCTGTACGGTGATACACAAATAATTACAGTAAACAAACGAGTCATCTTAGACTTGTATTGTCGACATCCATTAAGTGATGTCCCTGGGACATCATAGTCACCGCTAGGCCTTCATAACGTAGTGTAGTTACCATAGTGAATTACGTCACTAAACAGTGTAACGTGATTATCCTAGTCGGGTACGTCACTAAATGGAGTAATCTAACCACCATAGTCAGGTAAATACCGACACTAAAACACCTATAATTAAATCACTTAGCTACCTTCTGTTTTAACAGTCTGAAGATATTCTTTTCAACAGGCCCAGAAGTACCCCGAAATGTTATTTTAACATCGTAATCATCCTAGTATTAGGATTTTGAACTTGTAACGCGCACCTGTAAAGACCTAAAATAATAAAATATACTGTCGTAAACTGTCTATTTCTTTTTGGTGGATATCTGTATAATAGGTGACATCACTGTTTTGAGATTAAGTATCTATTGACGACAGCTCCTGGAGATGACACTAACAACATGAATACGTTTAGTACACACACAAGAGTATGTATTAATAATCTCCTTAAGGTATCAGAACAACTCAAAGAATAATCTATCACATACAAGAGTGCAAGATATTTCCGTGACAAAACTATAAAAACAAGAAATCCGTTGAAATTTATATGTGTCATCAATAATAAAAGAATAACTATCCATCTATAATACACTTATCTCTACAATAAATTTATGAACACGGAGCTATTAACTTTGCAATATTTCTGTAACTCGAACCCATTTCCATTGCTGGATCATATAAACTAAATTATAACATTATCCATTTGTTTCTGCACTTTTGAAAGAACAATACAATTTTCTTTCAAAGATAGGACTTGGTTACGAGTGTCATCAGAACTACAAAAGTATGTGTCTCTCGTTAGTATTATCTATAATAGTACACACAGCTTAGGAATTGACGTTGAGGATGGAGGTCCCTAGAGACGGATGCTGAGGTGATGTAGACGCTCGCTAACCCTCGTGGTTACATATGAAGTACCAGAACGAATGCCACTATATACCATCACCATAGGTGTCTGTCCCTCGGAAAATTTACGGATCGATGGATTTTTTTAATGCTACATAAGACGGCGTTAAAATAAATAAATAAAAAAAAACACTTAAGAGGGTCACCTGACAAATTCTAGGATCAAGCGAGAACATTCGTAGCTTGATGACCCGAGAAAGCATCTGTAAAGTTTCCATGGTAATCTGTTAGGAATGGAAATCAATATTCCGGATGACGGAACGAATAAAAAAATCGTAAAAAGAAACTTGAATTTATCATGACAGTTTATTGTGGAGGGACGGTCGTAACCTGAGAATGTAAAGAGTTACACTGTTAGTCATGAAGGTAAGGACGTATGAGAACAAATATTCCATCCAAAAAAAAATCAAATTTAAATTGTATTGCAACCTACGGTTTACCCTCTCCCAACCGTTCGCTGTTATTTTCTAGGTTTGACAAGTGGACTGGTATCAATGGCTTTGTTAGCAATAAAACAGAAGCCACAGTGTCATCTGACCAGGATGAAATTTTCCAAAATTACCACGAAGCAATCTTTGAAAAGCATTCCTTTCAATGTAACATAAGCGAAAATGATGAATAATGGCAACAGATTTAAAGATTTTATCTAATACTCGAAATTAGTCACAGTAGTTACAACCAATTAGTGTCATAACAGGACAAATGTGTGCCACACGTTGTTGTAAAGGCTTGGGCAGTGGTGGTCTCTTTTACCCTCTCGGCGCCTCTCCAAGTTGAGTTTTACAAATTACTGAAGAGATAATTATAACGAAACGAAACTGTCCTATGCTGGCTGGAACAATGTGCGGGTTGTCACCGACGCTGCCTAACCCAGCCGGGTCTCCATGACTCGATCAACTGTCTTCGGTAACCATGGTATTGGCTTCTCCCCGAATAACTAAACAAAGTTTAGTTTGAACAGCCTCGTTCAGCAAATCTCATGTGAGTTCGTCTAGTCAGATACAAATGGTGTCCTTGTTGTTCTCCAAAAGTATGGTAAACTTAAGCCTTTCTGGAGAAATCACCATTTTTTCTGCGTAATAAGTCGTACAATGTAAGACACATACATTATCACACCTATATAAATTACTTGCCTAATTAAACTGAACTGATGTTACTAGTGTGTATTCAAAACCACGAAAAGGTGTGTATACCCAATATTTACGTTGACACTGGTTTAAGATCTGTGAGTCATAAGTTGGTTTACAGTCGTCTGCGTGTCACCTACTGGTTTAAAGTCTGCCTTGAGGGTCATAATAAGACTACTGCAACAGAAGTGAAGGTCGTGACATGACTCGCAGGACGGGATAAGATTTTTAGACCTCGCGCGCACGATCTGCGGATGTCCTACCACGCAGATGTGTGTTTGCAATAACATGCCACACTAGAAATACAATATATACATGCCGTGGAGTACAAATTGAATTTGTACGCCGTATAAATGAACGTATCGCAGCCAATGTTTCTCTAAACCCCACAAATTTGATATTAACTGGATCTCAAGTCTTCTGGCTTCTCCAGTAAAGCATATACTGCTAGCAGACAGTGTGTAATTGTGGTAGAACGCAGCTTCCCTGTAAACGGCGGCTTCCAATTGTCTATGTGATGTACAGTCTGCGGCACTACAATCAACCGGAACCGATAGCCCGATCTCCGGCTCTAGAAGTTATAGCCTACAGTTGCCTTCCGTTCACGCTCATGGGTTTCCATTTCACCGAGATCTGTTCCGTTTGAGTCGTGAAATAATGCCCTGTATACAACTGCTTTGGTGCTTCGATAGAACACATAGAGGTTGATACAACATGACTGCTCAACAGACGCACGCGATCACACCAAGGCCACCGTACAAAGACATATCGGTCCCTACACGTGTTGGTCACGCGTACTCGACTCACATAACCTTATTGACATTAAATAATGACATTCATGCGATTCAACATGATATTAAATGTAACTGAGGCCTAACATTTACTTGGGCTGTCCCACGTCGTTATTTAGCATTGTCCACTCCAATAGGACATTTACCATTTACAAATCGATCGAGCTGGACATGCGATGCACTTAATCACTACTTAGTGATGCTTAGACAACATCGGGAGGACAGATACATAATAACTACTTAGTGATGCTTAGACAACATCGGGAGGACATATACATAATCACTACTTAGTGATGCTTAGACGACATCGGGAGGACAGATATATAATCACTACTTAGTGATGCTTAGACAAAATCGGGAGGACAGATACATAATCACTACTTAGGGATGCTTAGACAACATTGGGAGGACAGATACATCATCACTACTTAGTGATGCTTAGACAACATCGGGAGGACAGATATAGTATCACTACTTAGTGATGCTTAGACAACATCGGGAGGACAGATACATAATAGACTGTCGGTTCATCCATAGGTTTGAAAGGATAATTGGAGGAAACAGCAAACAATATATATTCTAATAGTCATTAAAGAACGAACTAAGGTTCGTTTGTACTTTAAAATGTGGAGAATCCTACCTCAAGAAGAGAGCATGAGGACAGATTAATGAATTAAGTATTGCTTAAATCAACCGATTCAGTTCATTTCACAAAGATTTTTGAATATTGTATAAAAATTAAAAGGAATTAGGCAACAGGCGTAATGCCTATACGAGCCCTCTCCTTGGATTCCCTATGCGTATAACAGTTTCTTACGATGTATGCACGAATGCAGATATCCAAAGTTCGAAGATATTCCTCATAACAAATATATCGACCAATGGTCAACAGCACACTCATCATTTTGTATTTATCATTCTAAAGTCAATTAGAAATAATACAATGTCAATCTCCACAAATTGTATTGTTAAAGGAATAGTTTAGTTTCAAAATTAAACAGTTCCGTTACAGAATGCGAAGGACACTTTTTACGCTTTCAATTAGAATAATTGCTGTAAGATTTGCTTCGGATTAATGTTAAACCCATTCCTTTCGTTGGTATTAATCAAATAAAGCATTATTAATTAACTAAATGGATAGTTTGGCAATAACTGATATTGATGAGAAATGCCAAATGTCAAACGTATAATACCACATACAGATAATAACAATAGGCTTCGATACATTTATTACAGATGACAACTCTGTAGGGTTAGTTTGTATAAAGGATGGTCCATAATAGTATAATAGTTCGTTCAATTTCGGGCTTAATTTCATGTATAGTGTCAATTAATCAAGTAAAATCGGTCCACATCGAGTAATGGTTTGATTTGTTTTGATCCAATATTTTGTAAATAAAGCTGGTGTTTTCACTCAATAAAGCAGTCTACAGTACGCAGCTACAGCGACGCACTGACCCGTTTGCACAGGCTTTGTGCTGCCTTTTTGTTTTTGTGAAGATATCGACTTTTTCCTGCATGGAGAGAAATTGGGTTCATTTGAACGGATAGAAAAGCGACACCCCGTTTCCTTACAAAATGAGCATCCTTAGGTGAATAGATTTGTTCCGTTTTCCAGGATAAGAAACCAAAATATCTTTATAGCAAGCCGACAATATTTGTCTTGCTTTAACAAAGAACGTTGAAAGTTTTCACAAACCAACACGACCTACTGCTAAAGAGCAGACGACACTGTAGTATCGAGTGTGTAATGGATTAATCCGGACAACTCCAACAAAGAATGACGTTCTAGGAGGTAAAAAAGGTACACACGTCACTTACCTGATGTTTGTCAGGCTACTTTCCGATGTGAGGCTGCATTCATTTAATGTGAGCTTATTTAGTCCATTACACCATAGATGGTTCACTTTCCTAGCAGCTTCCGGTCCGAGCGAATGCTGTGTTCCACCACTGGGTCTAGCTCTAGCTCGTTGTTTAAACTATCTGCAGGCCTCGATACAGGAAGGTTCCACTGATGTTTTCTTCTGTATTGATCTACGTTCCGCTCTAATATATCCTGTTTATGTCGTAATTCAATCAGCTATAATGAGTGAAATATTGTCAGGCTAACATTTATATCAACTATTATCATAATACCGTGCCTTTCACCCTTCACTGCACATGCGCGCGTTCTGATGAAGCTGGCGGACAACACACTGTTCGGGCCCCACAAAGCTTTTAATAATACTTTCGTTCGAGTGCGTTTCATTATTTGCATTCAGCAGAAACACAGCTTCGATAAAAGTCTGCATTGATCCGCTTATTACAATCATTACCTCTGTGCCGATCTCCGTGTTAAGGGTATTAGCTTTTAATTTCCGCCATCATTTACCGAGTCAGTTATAACAAGAAAAGGCCTCCCTTATATCACAACCATTGTATATGAATGGGCAGACCGGCAGTGGCGATCAACGTACAATGCATAATTAAAGTAGGTATGAATGTGTGAATTAACGTGCTACAATGGGACATAGACACCTCCTGTTGGACCTCCACAGACCGTCACGGCAGAATTTCCATCGCTCTGGTCTCGGACAATCGCGCGAACACGGGTTTTGTATTAGCACCGGATGTACGAACATACCCTCGAGTATTAGCCCCGGATATCCGTTAAAAGTCGCCCTGTTAGAGTTCGATTATCGCGTAAATATGATTTTAATGATTGATGTATATGCAATACACATATTGAGTGGACAGTTTGCGTTTCTTTGCATGAACTGATACCTACCGACTCTTGCTCTTCATCTATATCATTATTAAAGTATGCAATTGTCACTGGTTGTAAAAACAAAACAACATGTTCATGCAAATAAATAAAAGCTACATCAAGAAACCTACGCAAGTAATAAACCACAGATTAGCTACACCAACAAATTAAATACTAACTCCGTGGCAAAGCCAACAAACAAACAAAACATGGTCGTCGAATTGTTTATGAAAACATTCGAATGATCCAATATCATGAAGTTTTATCAGAGACTTATGAAATTAAACTCTTCATGGATGTTTCTGTCCAATTACTGAACGGATAATAACACAGAAGTGTGCAGCATGCCAAACACGAGAGAGCATTGTAAGGTTCAAATAGTAAAGTTGATATGGTCACTCTAGATATTAACCCGATGATTTGTAATTTTTAAAGACTCCAATTAAGCCAATTTAACATCGAATTCACATATCTAATTTGTAAAAAGTGTACTTGTACTATAGTTATTTAAATGGTTCATTGTAAATCATTCGTTTTCGTGTTTTTTTTTTTTTTTAATTTTGTTGATTTCATAGATCCGCGAAGCAATTACAAGTTTGATATTAAGTCATTCTCCACTTGATTGGGTACTCGTAATCCACAAATTCATGTTCCAACAAAATGGTATTTTGTCGGGAAACCACGAAATTTAGGCCCCACGAAAGTATCTGATTCCTTTATTTTAAACTTATTTTATTGCCAATAAAATTGAACAAGGGATTGGGCACAAGTTATTGCAACTTATCACAGCCTTCTCCCCTCATACATTTACAATTACATGACAACAATGATATTAGGCATAAACATGAAGTAGTATAAACATAACATAAAAAAACACCGTTCAAGATCTATTGCTGGTTTTAATGCAGTGATGCACTTGTCTAAAAACGTAAATATATAAGCTGAGTCGGTAATAGACATGTTGGCTAAGGACCTGATATACGTGGCTCAGTGACATCTGCCTTTTAGGAATCAAAGTGAATGCGACGAAATTACACCAGATGTAACGTTTCTACTACCAATCTTCTCCCGTTGTCGGGACCAGTTATCATAAAATGTACAAGGTCCGTTCCAAGATTACCAATCTGCTCCTGTGGGCGAGACCATATATCATAAAATGTACAAGGTCCGTTTCAAGCCTACCAATCTTCTCCTGTGGGCGGGACCAGTTATCATAAAATGTACAAGGTCCGTTCCCAGCCTACCAATCTTCTCCTGTGTGCGAGATCAGCTTTTATAAAATGTACAAGGTCCGTTCCAAGCCTCCCAATCTTCTCCTGTGGGCGAGATCAGCTTTCATAAAATGTACAAGGTCCGTTTCCAGCTTACCAATCTTCTCCTGTGGGCGAGACCAGTTATCATAAAATGTTCAAGGTCCGTTCCCAGCCTTCCAATCTTCTCCTGTGGGTGGGACCAGTTATCATAAAATGTACAAGGTCCGTTCCAAGATTACCAATCTGCTCCTGTGGACGAGACCATATATCATAAAATGTACAAGGTCCGTTTCAAGCCTACCAATCTTCTCCTGTGGGCGGGACCAGTTATCATAAAATGTACAAGGTCCGTTCCCAGCCTACCAATCTTCTCCTGTGGGCGGGACCAGTTATCATAAAATGTACAAGGTCCGTTCCCAGCCTACCAATCTTCTCCTGTGGGCTGGACCAGTCATCATAAAATGTTCAAGGTCCGTTCCCAGACTACCAATCTTCTCCTGTGGGCGGGACCAGTCATCATAAAATGTTCAAGGTCCGTTCCCAGACTACCAATCTTCTCCTGTGGGCGGGACCAGTCATCATAAAATGTACAAGGTCCGTTCCCAGCCTACCAATCTTCTCATGTGGGCGGGACCAGTTATCATAAAATTTTCAAGGTCCGTTCCCAGCCTACCAATCTTCTCCTGTGGGCGGGACCAGTTATTATAAAATGTACAAGGTCCGTTCCCAGCCTAGCACTCGTGACCAAAAGTAAAACCAGCAACAAGCATGATAAAATTAAACATCTTATCTGCAATCTACGATATAAATATCAATACAAATAACTCCAGTCCAGTACACTCTAGTAAAGTACAGCGAATGACATTGAAATTCTGAGCGAAAATCTGCAGTTTTGGAGAGAAGTGTAGACCTCATATAAAGATGGTTGTATTAGATGGTTTATATTTAACAGTACATCAATTTGACACAGAGAGTTGTGTGACCTAGATTGTTTAAGGAACATTTTATGCTTTATGTTATTTCAGGCTCGTTATTGAGAACACTGAAAGTTATAAAACGACACATTATCTTAAGTTGATGCACTACTTTAGATCACACGGCACTCGGTTTCTCATTTACGAAGTACTATGACTAAAATGTTTCGCATAGCCAGGTGACCATTTTTACATAATGTCATGTCGTAACAAAGGTACAACTTCTGTGGTCTACAACCAAATAACACATCTGAATTCCAGTGTTTAATTTGCGTTTAAATATTGTAGCATGGGGTGAATCATTAGGGTTTCCATGTCATCGTTTAGGGCGGGGTGGGGGTGGGGTGGGGTGGGGAGGACCTTAATAAACAGAAGAAAGTGTACATACGTCAAAAACATCCTCTTTATTTCAGTGTTAGATCAAACCGTCTGTTGTGCAGATTTGAAAATTAGATAAATCCGTCCGTTGTGATGTCGCGAGTCATTCTATAGTAAAGCCCATACGGTTTGTAAATATATCCCGTGTTATTATATAACAGCAAAAGTTATTCCCCTTTTCAAGAGGGCATTCTCCCTCTAACTACAGGCCACTATATTTATTATCCAAGGCTAAATGGGTTATTTCATTAGAAATTACCTTTTGTTTTAATTCAGCATCATTCCCCATTTTATTGTTTATTAGCTAACTAGCTAAACCTCTCGATTTGAAATAGAAACTGATTTAAATTGTGATGTGTACTCGCAAGATATATGGGCAAAGCAATGATTAGAAAGTGTTAGCCCTGTTAAACTGAAGTATTATGAAATAGACATATGGTCCACGTGGTGTTGTGTTCGGAGGCGAGTTACATTGACCAGTTCGTACTTGCTTGGAGACATTACTTACTTTACCTTCCAGTGTGTAGGCTTTCCCTGTCACTCCTTGGTGATTTTCGACATCTTTTCGATCTTGGAACATGTAACTTTATCTTCACATGTTATATTTTCTTTTATGGCTGAAATATAAACAACTACCAACTGCTTTATACAGCTTTAGGAAAAGGGAAAGGTGAGTTTACGTACGAGGCTAGGATAAAATTGCAGGGTTTAATTTTAGAAATTATTTCCTTTTCTGAGTAAACCGTGATGCAAATTCTAAATGAAGTTCTGGGAATTCTTCTGGGAATTCTATAATCGATAATCGAGTATTGAAATCTTGATGTTTTTCCCCTACAGTAGTTCGGTTGTATGGATCAGAAAGCAGAAATAAACACTCATATATTTAGAAATGTGTAAAAAATATATCAAACTTTTTTATTATGTTCTTTTGCTGTATTGTTGCTTTCTTTGAACATTCTAGTGTGATGACTTTAGTTTTATGTAAAATGACAAAAAGACAAAATCTCGGTTCCGACACCAATCAATAGCATACATACCTACATTTATACCTATGATAGACTCTCGTTACAGACTCTATGATAGGTTTACAGTTGGGTTTATTGGATTATTTAATGGAGTATTAACTGGAACGATTATGGATGAAGTCGTAAGGTCTAAATCATCAAATATTTTGCACCAGTATAAATCTATAACGGATTGTCTTATAGATAAGATAACCTGTCGAATCAAATATCAATTGCTATCTTTGAAATGTCAAACTAAAAATATTTTTATCTTATTGTTTTGGCATTTACAACAAAAACAGGAAATTGTACGAACCGTCTACCACACTAATTGAAAAAGAGTTTTTCAATCGCTCTGTATAACAGCGATATTTCTTACAACTTGAAATTGTGGCCTCGCGTACTTCGCTATTATCAAAATTCAGAAAGGTCGGAAAGCGATCTGAAAGGGTAACAGTGACGTAACGGAGCATACTGTTGCAATCAGGTGGGCAGTGGTATATGGGCACGGATTGGTTAAAATTACGTGGATATGGCTTTAATCGTTTGGCATACGGTCACAGTTCATTAAATATTCGTGAAACGAACACTTCCGTGATACCTGCAGAAAAAATCCGATAAACGTGTACTTGCTATTTTCCTGAAGTGGTTTCAAAGTAAATGAACTGTCGGAACCATAAGTAAATAGAGGATAATTAACAGTGTCTTCAGTTATACCAAATATATTTCACTCGTGTGGCTAATATTTTAATATCTTTAACGAGTGCGCAATATTTCACTGGTAAAAATGTAATAAATAGTAGTGTGCGACTACGCAACGGCCAGGGAAGACAACATGGGCGTGCCATAAACAAATAAATGTCGCTGATCACTGCCTTTAGGGTAAGGGGAGTATAAAACATGTCGCTGAACACTGCCTATAGGGTAAGGGGAGTCAATAAAACATGTCGCTGAACACTGCCTTTAGGGTAAGGGGAGTATAAAACATGTCGCTGAACACTGCCTATAGGGTAAGGGGAGTATAAAACATGTCGCTGAACACTGCCTATAGGGTAAGGGGAGTTAACAAAACATGTCGCTGAACACTGCCTATAGGGTAAGGGGAGTCAATAAAACATGTCGCTGAACACTACCTATAGGGTAAGGGGAGTATAAAACATGTCGCTGAACACTGCCTATAGGGTAAGGGGAGTCAATAAAACATGTCGCTGAACACTGCCTATAGGGTAAGGGGAGTCAATAAAACATGTCGCTGAACACTGCCTATAGGGTAAGGGGAGTCAATAAAACATGTCGCTGAACACTGCCTATAGGGTAAGGGGAGTCAATAAAACATGTCGCTGAACACTGCCTATAGGGTAAGGGGAGTCAATAAAACATGTCGCTGAACACTGCCTATAGGGTAAGGGGAGTCAATAAAACATGTCGCTGAACACTGCCTATAGGGTAAGGGGAGTCAATAAAACATGTCGCTGAACACTGCCTATAGGGTAAGGGGAGTCAATAAAACATGTCGCTGAACACTGCCTATAGGGTAAGGGGAGTCAATAAAACATGTCGCTGAACACTGCCTATAGGGTAAGGGGAGTCAATAAAACATGTCGCTGAACACTGCCTATAGGGTAAGGGGAGTCAATAAAACATGTCGCTGAACACTGCCTATAGGGTAAGGGGAGTCAATAAAACATGTCGCTGAACACTGCCTATAGGGTAAGGGGAGTCAATAAAACATGTCGCTGAACACTGCCTATAGGGTAAGGGGAGTCAATAAAACATGTCGCTGAACACTGCCTATAGGGTAAGGGGAGTCAATAAAACATGTCGCTGAACACTGCCTATAGGGTAAGGGGTGTTAATAAATCAAGACGCTGAACACTGCCTATAGGGTAAGGGGTGTCAATAAAACATGTCGCTGAACACTGCCTATAGGGTAAGGGGAGTCAATAAATCATGTCGCTGAACACTGCCTATAGGGGAAGGGGAGTCAATAAAACATGTCGCTGAACACTTCCTAAAGGGTAAGGGGAGTCAATAAAACATGTCGCTGAACACCGCCTATAGGGTAAGGGGTGTTAATAAATCAAGACGCTGAACACTGCCTAAACACTGCCTATAGGGTAAGGGGAGTCAATAAATCATGTCGCTGAACACTGCCTATAGGGGAAGGGGAGTCAATAAAACATGTCGCTGAACACAGCCTATAGGGTAAGGGGAGTATAACACATGTCGCTGAACACTGCCTATAGGGTAAGGGGAGTCAATAAAACATGTCGCTGAACACAGCCTATAGGGTAAGGGGAGTATAAAACATGTCGCTGAACACTGCCTATAGGGTAAGGGGAGTCAATATAACATGTCGCTGAACACAGCCTATAGGGTAAGGGGAGTATAAAACATGTCGCTGAACACTGCCGATAGGGTAAGGGGAGTCAATAAAACATGTCGCTGAACACTGCCCATAGGGTAAGGGAAGTCAATAAAACATGTCGCTGAACACTGGCTATAGGGTAAGGGGAGTCAATAAAACATGTCGCTGAACACTTCCTATAGGGTAAGGGGAGTATAAAACATGTCCCTGAACACTGCCTATAGGGTAAGGGGAGTCAATAAATCATGTCGCTGAACACTGCCTATAGGGTAAGGGGAGTCAATAAAACTAGTCGCTGAACACTTCCTATAGGGTAAGGGGAGTATAAAACATGTCGCTGAACACAGCCTATAGGGTAAGGGGAATAAATAAAACATGTCGCTGAACACAGCCTATAGGGTTAGGGGAGTCAATAAAACATGTCGCTGAACACTGCCGATAGGGTAAGGGGAGCAAATAAAACATGTCGCTGAACACAGCCTATCGTGAACACTACCTATAGGGTAAGGGGAGTATAAAACATGTCGCTGAACACAGCCTATAGGGTTAGGGGAGTATTAAACATGTCGCTGAACACTGCCTATAGGGTAAGGGGAGTCAATATAACATGTCGCTGAACAAAGCCTATAGGGTAAGGGGAGTATAAAACATGTCGCTGGACACAGCCTATAGGGTAAGGGGAGTATAAAACATGTCGCTGAACACTGCCTATAGGGTTAGGGGAGTCAATAAAACATGTCGCTGAACACTGCCCATAGGGTAAGGGAAGTCAATAAAACATGTCGCTGAACACTGGCTATAGGGTAAGGGGAGTCAATATAACATGTCGCTGAACACAGCCTATAGGGTTAGGGGAGTATAAAACATGTCGCTGAACACTTCCTATAGGATAAGGGGAGTCAATAAAACATGTCGCTGAACACTTCCTATAGGATAAGGGGAGTCAATAAAACATGTCGCTGAACACAGCCTATAGGGCAAGGGGAGTATAAAACATGTCGCTGGACACAGCCTATAGGGAAAGGGGAGTATAAAACATGTCGCTGAACACAGCCTATAGGGTAAGGGGAGTTAATAAAACCTGTCGCTGAACACTGCCTTTAGGGTTAGGGGAGTAAATAAAACATGTCGCTGAACACTGCCGATAGGGTAAGGGGAGTCAATAAACCATGTCGCTGAACACTGCCTATAGGGTAAGGGGAGTATAAAACATGTCACTGAACACAGCCTATAGGGTTAGGGGAGTATAAAACATGTCGCTGAACACTGCCTATAGGGTAAGGGGAGTTATTAAACATGTCGCTGAACTCTGCCTATAGGGTTAGGGGAGTCAATAAAACATGTCGCTGAACACTGCCTATAGGGTAAGGGGAGTTATTAAACATGTCGCTGAACTCTGCCTATAGGGTTAGGAGAGTCAATAAAACATGTCGCTGAACACTACCTATAGGGTAAGGGGTGTTAATAAATCAAGACGCTGAACACTGCCTATAGGGTAAGGGGAGTCAATAAAACATGTCGCTGAACACTGCCTATAGGGTAAGGGGAGTATAAAGCATCACTGAAGGATTGGTTTTACATTGACAAGTATTAACGCGAGTGAACTGATATGCTGACAAAGTAACTGAGAGGAAACATGACATGAAGTTATCGCTCTATAAATCCGCCTCAATCACGTTCAAATAACAGATCATCTTCATGTGCCAACTTTAACGGAACGTGCGTGTGTCTACCCCCGGTACTGCCGGGACGTGTGTCTACCCCCGGGACTGCCGGGACGTGTGAGTGACATTCATGAGAAACCATAACACCTCGGAATCTTTGGGATTTCAAATCATTTAAAAAACAAATCCGATTTTCTGAGATATTTCTAAATGTCTTAGAAATGTTGCTCTCAGTAGGAAAAAGCTCGTGAGAACATAAATAATTGAAGGTTTAGAAGGTTTAGAGGGCCTAAGCTTATCAATATCTATTTACACGACGTGTACGCAGGCGCCACTGTAACCTCAATAAGAGCTTAGTTGTATATACACGTGTATTTGGGATACTTCTAAATTCTTTTGTTAGAAATAAGGAAATTTACTAAAATGTTATTTCTAAAGCTGTTGTGCCCTTTTCAGAAACCTTGTACAATATAGTCACGTGACAAATAACTAAGATGGAGGTTACCGCCATTTGCATCCCTGCAGGTGGGGGACCTGGAAAAGAGCACACTTGCTGTTACCCACTGCATGTATCGTAGGAGGCGACTAATGAGGGGAACCCCTGCAGAATTGGGGATTTGCTTTAGTGTCCTCTATTTGGGGACACAAAAACGACCAAAATAAATCTGCTGCGCCATCATTTGGGATATTTATCTTTCTTATTCTTACTACCTCTTGGCAACATCCTACTTTTGGATTGAATGTTGAGCGTTCGCCTAGGTGAGGAAGGCAATGGGTTATGTCCCAAGGCTGGAGCATATCAAAGTCTTTAAAAATGGTAGTTATTATTCCCTGCTAAACGTTCAGCATTTAGGGGAATGGCAACAACTGGTTCACCCGTAGTCAGTATAATGTGACCGGGCGGAATGCTGTGCTGGGTGACTTCGGCATGGTATTTCAGTGAGATAGCACTATACAGTCGGCATCAGATCCGCGTTATCACAAAGTGGCAAAGCACAACCAACATACCCTGTCTCCTGCATACACACGCGCATGCAAGCAAACACTACACACATTGAAGAACGTCCTAAATGACCTTAGCTGTTAATAGGACGTTAAACAAAATTAAACCAAAACAACTATTTGTCATTCAAAACTGTAGTGATATACTTCTCTTAAGGAACCAAATATGAAGAGCCAGTCGTTCAGGAATGGTAACTGAAACCTGACACAGTTGTAAATGATCAAATGTACACTAACATAGATTCAAACAAATCGTGTTTGCTTCAAAATAATATTGACTTTGGCATCGTCTATATATATATATATGAGTGTCGACCGGAACATTTCAAATTTCATGAAACATATTTGTCGAGTGAGACACCAGACAAGCCATCCGGGTGTCGAGGGAGACACCAGACAAGCCAACGGGGTGTCGAGGGAGACACCAGACAAGCCATCGGGGTGTCAGAGGAGACACCAGACAAGCCATCGGGGTGTCAAAGGAGACACCAGACAAGCCATCGGGGTGTCGTGGGAGACACCAGACAAGCCATCGGGATGTCAAAGGAGACACCAGACAAGTCATCCGGGTGTCGAGGGAGACACCAGACAAGCCAACGGGGTGTCGAGGGAGACACCAGAAAAGCCATCGGGGTGTCAGAGGAGACACCAGACAAGCCATCGGGGTGTCAAAGGAGACACCAGACAAGCCATCGGGGTGTCGGGGGAGACACCAGACAAGCCATCGGGATGTCAAGGGAGCCCCCAGACAAGCCATCGGGGTGACAGAGGAGACACCAGACAAGCCATCGGGGTGTCAAAGGAGACGCCAGACAAGCCATCGGGGTGTCAAAGGAGATACCAGACAAGCCATCGGGGTGCCAAAGAAGATACCAGACAAGCTATCGGGGTGTCGAGGGAGACACCAGACAAGCCATCGGGGTGTCGAGGGAGACACCAGACAAGCCATCGGGGTGACAGAGGAGACACCAGACAAGCCATCGCGGTGTCAAAGGAGACACCAGACAAGCCATCGGGGTGTCAAAGGGGATATCAGACAAGCCATCGGGATGCCAAAGGAGATACCAGACAAGCCATCGGGGTGTCGAGGGACACACCAGACAAGTCATCGGGGTGTCGAGGGAGACACCAGACAAGCCATCGGGTTGTCGAGGGAGACACCAGACAAGCCATCGGGGTGGCAAAGGAGACACCAGACAAGCCATCGGAAGGTCAAAGGAGACACCAAACAAGCCATCGGGGTGTCAAAGGAGACACCAGACAAGCCATCGGGGTGACAGAGGAGACACCAGACAAGCCATCGCGGTGTCAAAGGAGACACCAGACAAGCCATCGGGGTGTCGAGGGAGACACCAGACAAGCCATCGGGGTGTCAAAGGAGACACCAGACAAACCAACGGGGTGTCAAAGGAGACACCAGACAAGCCATCGGGTGAGACACCAGACAAGCCATCGGGGTGTCGAGGGAGACACCAGACAAGCCATCGGGTGTCAAAGGAGACACAGTGGAAATGATGGAAGACAGAGAGAAACAAGAGAAATGAAGCAATGGAGAGCATACTATCAATTCTAGTTACTGGCTCCTTATAATGTTCCTATAACTACCAGGGACGACGCACACGTATTCAACTTCGTCAGGACACTGTATTTCACGTTATTCCGACGTTTGGTGTTGAACTATTAAAGTTGCCTAGACATAAGGAACAGGTGTGGCAGGCCTACATAGTTATTTCTCAAAGGAGTTTCTTAGATTTTAGGTAAATAATAACAGACTTACCTTAGACATCACAACCTTGTCTTAATAATAACAATATCACAGCCTTACCTTAGATAAAGAGTTACAACATCACAGCCTTGTCTGAGGTAATTGATAACAACATAAAACATCGCCAATGTATACGGGATATTAATCTTTCCAGCGACATCAAACTAATATTAATACTTTATCCCAATAGATAAATTTTGTTATTGGTAATCTAAATCTGATTGAGACTTTCATTATATACCGATATTCTAGAAGGTGTGAGTTTGTTAGTAATTTTCTTTTTAAATGCCTTGACTTACGGACATTTTTTTTTATAGATTATCAAATAAATTCAGACTGCAGTGAATGGAATAAATAAGGTTAAGAATCCTATTTTCAACATTTGAAAACGAAATATCTTTGAAAGGTGGTCCGTCCCTAGGCTTTCAGACACCAACGTAAGCTCAGTGTTGGGGTATTTTGGTCTGTAGTCTTCCACAAACAAGTCGAGAAGCTTCTTTGATGGCATAGTGTATGAACTTAAAATGTATTTCTTATAAGTCAACTCACTTTCGTTACTTCTTGTATGAAATGGTCGACCTATACAAATCATGATGTCATTGTTCATAACAATGTTGTGAAATTAAATCAATTTTATCGATTCATTTTGAGAAAATTCAAGAACTGGCGTCATTTGTGTTAAGAATGTGATTCTATTTATGAATAGTGATTTTAATGCCCCTGGTTTGTAGTATAGTCACAGCGAGTTACTTTATTTGAGATGATTATATTTGTTTGTTTGTGAGAGGAGCGGCACGTGTTGTGATATTAGTCAGATTATCGACCAATACGTAGCGTCTGAATGGAGTTCAATGTGTGGTTGATTTCCAGACAAATTAGAGGAGAGTAGAGGGGTTTAATGATAGGGGTATACCCCACACCGGGACACCAGTCAACTACAGCGGTCATGGTTCACGTCAAACACACACCTATGTGTATGCTGTGTGAAAGTCATATCGATGTTTGTGTTTCTTTGTGTTTCTATATGGTGACAAAGTCAAGCCATCATTGGAAGATTTGTTTAACTGGCTAGGTTACAATAGTTACTTCGACTCCTCCAAACCGTTTTAAAATTGAATTGCTATATTGCTTTGTTAAACATATTTTAAATGTAAATGGATTGGTCTGGCGTTATCCGTTTCCAGGAAATATACCGGATATCCAAGCAACGCTGACATCGCAGTACTTAGTGTAAAACTCCATTGATTATAAACGAAAGCATTATAATAAAAAGGTGTTCAAGGCTAACATACAATGAACTGATTTTATCTGTGATGTCTAAGCCTCGGATCTTAAAGTTGAATGTAATGCGAACTAAAACCGGAAGTTTGATATTTTTATGAATATGTCATACGTCATAGAACAACGTTGTTCGTTTTGTACTCAGGCTGAAATGTACCTTGGACTAGACAATGCACAATAACCTTAGATCGTACTCACCAAGGAACCGGTAGTATCAGTGCCATGTGTACAATGACTGGATGATAAATGAAGGAAAACAAAGGAAACATGTCCAATATGTTCTTTATACTCGAGTAACGAACTACATGTATCCCTACATAGCCAGTGTTTTATCGTTTTTTGTTTCCCTAGAGCCGTGTCTATTCCAATTTTTATATTTGGTTCAAGTTCAAGTTCAAGTTCTTTATTACCTTGGGTCGTTTGACTCATCGGTTTCAAAAGTAAGATATATTTATAATATCTACAGACAATACAATACAATACAATACATGCAATACATACAATACAATACCAGCAATGTACAAACAGTATGGAGAGTGTAACAAATTAAGTTAATTGGTTTCTTCTTACATTTGCCGCTTTTATATATTTGGCCAAATTGACAAGTTCTTTTGTGTTATTTACATTAAATAGATTTATCATTTTAAACATACTTGTTTTTTTTACATAGTACTTTTTCAAAAATTTAACACGCAAATCCGAATAACATGGACATTTCAACATAAAATGAAACTCATCTTCAACGTCATTTAAATTATACAGTACACATTCTAAGACTACGCTCAATATTTTGATATCTACCTTTTTCTATATTTAGATTATGAGCAGATAACCTTTTTTTTGTAATCTCTTTCAAATATTCTCTAGATAATGGTTTTCTTAAGTAACACTGTAAATCAAACCGGTTATAAAGATATGTATAGATATATCCCTTTAAAGATGTTCTTACGTTTTCTTTGCATTCTTGTCTATATATATCAATAAGTCTTTCTCTAATAACATTATAACACATATCATCATTTATTTCTGTTTCCCATATGTAACCAAGGCCAATTCTAAATAAATCATTTTTTATGTTTAAAACCCATTTATCCTTATTCTCTAACATATCTTTATAACATGCTTGCAAAATGCAATTACTAGTCCTTTTTAACTTAATCCAATATTTAATAATTCTTTACTTTCTTACCAATGACAATGGATACCTCCCAAGTTCTAAATAAACCATAACATTACAAGTATTTTTTCTTACGCCAAGCAGTCGTTTACAAAACAAAGTATGATTTTTTTCAATATCTGGGGCTTTATGAAAGCCCCATATTTCAGAACCGTAGCTTAGAATGCTATTTACATACGTATCAAAAACTGATAATTGAGTTTCAATATTAAAATAATTTTTCAACTGAAAACAAAGTCTTTCTTCCCTGATCTGCAATTTTTTGTTGTGTTTTTCTAAATGTTCCATTGTAATTTAGTAAGATTCCTAGGTAGTTAAATTCATTTACAATTTCTAGCTGACCACCATTGTATTTCCAACATTCATTATTTCTCAAAATACCCCCATTTCGAAACACAAGAATTTTTGTTTTATCCGTATTGACTGTTAGATCCCATTTTTTTGTGTACGATTCTAAAGAGTTTAACATATCTTGCAGACCCTCTGGCGTTTCGGAAAAAAAACACCATATCGTCTGCGTACATTAAAAGGAACAAATTCAGTGTTTGAATTTCTATCGACTGACAGTTGTCAATTAAAAATTGCATTTCGCAATCATTAACATATAATGTAAACAATAATGGCGATAAAATTTCACCTTGAAACAATCCATTTTCACAATTTAAATAATTGGATAATGAACCATTATGCTTAACACAACATTTAACACTACTATACAATGACCTTATTAGCTTTAATAATCTCCCATCAATGCCTTCCTTTATCAATTTGAACCACAAGTTATGTCTATTGACGAAATCAAACGCCTTTGTATAATCAATAAAGCAACAGTATATATTTTTTTTACGTTTTAGAGTGCCGGTATTCAAAGATTGTAAAGCAAATATGGCGTCAATAGTAGACAAGTTTTTCTTAAAGCCAAACTGAGCATCCGTTATTTTACTATATTTTTGTATTTTTGTATTTCCCCCCAACACTTGATCTCTCTTGTATTGCGTGAAGGATACATCTATCGCTACGACACACTTGACAGGTATTATTTCACTTATGATAGATAATTCACCAAAAGTGACGTAGTCACTGCTGAATTAAACATTCAATTTTCCATGGTTTCAAATGAAATGCTGAATACAGTCAGTAGGATAAGCAATGTACTGCCTCTTGCTGACATGAATCTAACTTTAAACATCAATCCACCATGACGCGTTTTATCCACGGACCTTGCCGTTTCCATTTGCCATTCATATTGACTATGAACGCCAATCGAAACCCGTCTAAAACTTTAGCATTTTAAATCCATTCTTTGTATTGTACAGAACGTATTTTATATTAAAATTAAAATAAAAAGTTCCCAATACCTATCGGTCTTGGAAACCATAATTTCAATTTGATGAATAAGTCTGTTGTTTTCATTTTTCAAGTCCTCCATACCTGTCATTTCTCTTATTCATAAAACAGGGTATTTAATATTTGTCCACTTTGGTTCATTTTCCTTAAATATAAAATGTGAATTAGTAAAGTGTATTTTTAAAAACGGAATTATTAATTCTGTATGGATAGTTTCTCTATTGTATTCTAATTAGTATTTTGTATTTAAACTCACAAAACATCTGACATGATACGTTGTTATTCGGCAGTATTGCTCCTTTATAAAGTTGATAATACAAAATAGCCTCACACGCTCTGTAAAACGGCGGTCTGTTCTCCTGACAATAATCTAATCAAATGACGCACGAGTCTTGGCGAGCTCAGTGTATTGTTCTGTTTCTCAATTCAAAGCGGGATCTCGCGAGACCAAACTCACGTTTAATTCCACAACATCGAGTGCCCGGATCAACAGCACGAACGCAAAAATGGAGACATTCTGTATTTATTGATGACAACAGGGGCGTATTAACATAACAAAATATCGCCAATTTATGAGTTTCGGTATCGCTACAGACGATGCTGGTGTTCCTGTGTTTCAGCTTCGCTCCATCATCAGTAGATCGAGATAAATGATGGCGTGCCGTAAACTGTTCCGGTAAACAACTAGCTAAGTCGTTAACTTTATTGACTGATGAAGAAAACTTTTGTTACGAAAGTGAACTTCGGTGCAAGACATACAACAGTTTGGGATTAGGCATTTTCTTCCTTAATTATTCCAATCTGTCATGAAGTTAAAAATGCTTTGTTTCCTTGATAAAATCGTTATCACAACGTTAATGACGCGTTAGTACGTGACAAACTACCTCTCCCGATAAGAATCGTGTTTGTGTAAAGGACGCTCAACGCCTGTGTAGCTTCTTTCTTCCTTGTGTTGATGATGGAGATAAGATGAGTTATCACCACTCTTAACTCAAACTGCGTA